ATATATATATATATATATGCATATATATAGGTACATCACACACACTATATATATATATATATATCCACGTAAAAGCTGTTAAACACCGCGTGCGTCCACTCCACCATCACCGTCCACGAGTATCGATTCGACACATATTTCGCTTCATCGATATGTATATATATATGTGTATCTCCTCGCTCGGTACTACTTACTGGGTGAGTTGGGCATTTTGCATGTGGAGTCGAGGCGGAAAAACAGCGGCACACATGAGAATATACACTTACCTATATATACTGCTTGGCCCATCGGGCGCATTCAAATGACCGATCCAAGGAAAGGAATTGACAAAGCTCTCTTTTTTACTCGACGCCCATAGTCATCCCCCCTATCCATGATAATATTGCGTCGTTGGCTGTATGCAATGTAATGACAGTAATGGATCGACATCATTCCGCTTGGCCACGGCGCTCATTATCGATCGTATTATCCAACACACGTTCACATATAGCGGCCGTGTTGTCGTTCTACTTTGGCAGGCGGTGAAAATTTTAGCCATTTTTCTTCTTTTACCGTACCTTAATAATTCACACCCGCGAATCGTAAACACCACCCTTTCGCACCGACGACGCCCAAAGGATCTTCCGTATGGATTTTTTCCTATCTCTGTTCGCATTGGCACCCGCCTCGTGTCCCCGTTATTTTTATCAGTAAATATACCCAGGTATATACATATATACATTCCGTTGAATCGACGAGTCATTGTTACCATCATCCCACGCCTCATCGAGCGAAATGTACACCCTATTTCACGTAACACAAGGTTTGTCCATGAAAATGGCTAAATGCTATATGGATTTGGATGAAAAAAAAAAAAAAAAAAAAAAAAAAAAAAAAAAAAAAAAAAAAAANAAAAAAAAAAAAAAAAAAAAAAAAAAAAAAAAAAAAAAAAAAAAAAAAAAAAAAATGATATTCCACAGAGCGTCGTCGCCGTGGACAGCAGCCAGCGTAGCTGTAGCCTGTCCGACAATGGTAGCTGTTGCGGCAAGGTGTACCAGTTCGACGCGACCTTCGAACCGGAGGCCTCGACCGAAGCCGTGTACGAGCAAGTGGGGTCGTACGTGGTCGAGGCCGTGCTGGAAGGCTACAATGGCACTGTGTTCGCTTACGGGCAAACGGGCTGCGGCAAGTCGCACACGATGCGCGGCTTCATCGAGCGGGCCCTCGAGCACCTCTTCGAGGCTACCTCGACGGCGAGCTCCGACACCCGCTACCTCGCCCTGCTCACCTACCTCGAGATCTACAACGAGAAGCTGCGCGATCTCCTCGACCCCGGGGAAGGCGGTCATCAGCTGCAGCTGAAGGAGGATCCGGTGCGCGGGACTTACGTGGCGGGGGGTTTGCGCGAGGTGACGGTCAAGGATGGCCGGGAGTGCGCGAGGCTGGTGGAACAGGGGGACCGGAGGCGGGTGGCGGCGGCGACGAGGATGAACGCGGCGAGCTCGAGGAGCCACGCGGTGCTCACGATATCGCTCGAGGCGATAGCCATTGGGCCAGCGGCGACTGCGGGCTCGGGGGCAGTGCGCCGGGGTAGGCTGCACCTGGTGGATTTGGCGGGCTCGGAGAGGCAGAGGCGCACCGGGGCGACGGGCGATCGGCTCAAGGAGGCAGCCAGCATCAATCTCAGTCTCTCGGCCCTGGGCAACGTCATCAGCGCCCTCGCGGCTGGCAATGGCCGTCACGTGCCCTACAGGTATACACGAAATTTCAATCTCCGAGTACGTTTTTCACCTCGACAGTCTCCTTTTTCTTCATAGGGTTATACCTTTTCGACAATACAAACAAGTGTCATCACTTTCTTTAAAACCCCCCAAACGGTACCTATGCAGGAAAAAGGTCTGAGCCGAAAGCTGGACTTTTTGATATTTAAATACTATATGTTCAAGGTTTAGAGATTTATTCAAAGTTATCGAAAATCGCTGATGATTTTGGAGTCTTTCGGTGGACTTTCAAAAATTTTGTATGTGATTACAAATGAGACTTTGGCGCATTGAGCAACCCAATTCTTTAACTCAAACAAAAAATGTTTTTACCCTTATTCTAAATTAAATATTTTCTTATGAGTAAAAAAAAAAAGAAACATAAGATTATTAAAAATAACATTTTGTAGAATTAAAGTTTTTAAAAATTAACAATTACAAAAGACAAAGAAATTTTCTTTGATTCAAAGTACCGACTTTTATTCAATGACTTGAAAAGCGCGCAGCTCCTCGTTTTGACTAAATTTCGTGTGCACTGTCATCGTCCAAAACAAAAAACAGGGACAGCAAGCTGACGCGCCTACTGCGGGACAGTCTGGGCGGTAACGCGCGCACTCTGATGATAGCCTGCGTGAGTCCGAGCGACGTCGACGCCGAGGAGACCCTGAGCACGCTGCGCTACGCCGCCCGGGCGCGTTGCATCAAGAACAAGCCCATCGTCAACGAGGACCCAAAGGACGCCCTCCTGCGCCAGTACCAGATCGAACTCCAACGGCTCAGGAAACTCCTGGAAACGAACGCCACGGAAAACGACGAGCTGCAGTCCACGAAAAACGTTGACGAAGACGACCAACGGGCGGACCCTGAGGACAAAACCATCAGTGCTGATGGCGGTGAGTGTATTTTAGTCACTGGTTGAATTTCTGGGGGTGTTCCAGTAGAAACCATTGCACACGACGCATATTGAAAAAAAAAAGAGTAAGATAACAATGAAACATAAAAGTTGGGTGGGCAGTGATGTGATTTATTGACTATTATTGTAAAAAAACGAATGGATTGGCTGATGCGGAAGTGGTTATTGGGTCGGTACTTCCAGAGACGTTGGCAGAGGCCGTGGAGGTCCCGAGCTCGGAGTCCCCCGCGTCTAATGGCGTCGTGGACGAGCGTCACCAGCGAAAGCGCGAGGCCGCGAAGCAAGAGGTGCTCCGGAGACTCGAGCGACTGACGATCGGCGGCGAAGCCCTGGGCGACGCGGAGATCCAACGGCGCAGGGAACGCCGACGGAAGCGGCTCCAGGCGCTGGCCGAGGCCCTCGAGCGCAGCAGCCAGGAGGGCAACGGGGGCGCCTTCGAGGTGTACGGGCAACTCAAGTCCACCGAGGACGCCCTCAAGCGCATGGCCAGGAAGGCCAAGCAGCTCGAGGCCGAAGCTGCCGATTTGCAGGTGTTGTGTTCTGCCACATGCCCCATCGCTGGAAAAACACGAGTGACAAAAGTGTGGAAAATTGCAGGCCTCGTGGGACGAGGAGCGTAGGGAGCTGTTGCGCCGTGAGCTGTTGACCCAGCAGATCTGCGAGGCGATGCTGCCGCACCTGAGGCCGGGCTGTCCGCTGCGCAACCTCCAGGACGTGCGAGACGCCTCCACGTGGAGCTCGGAGCTCGGCCGGTGGCGGCTGCCCGACCTCACCGGCAAGTATCAGAGCTTCTCGCTGCCACCCCCGGCCCCGATGCAGAACTCGCCACCCCCGGCGTCGGATCGGATAAACAACAACAGCAGCACCGCTGGTGCCAGGGGTATCGGTAGCGGCTACGGGAGGAGTAGTAGTAGGAGCAGCTTGGACGAGAACGACAGCGACAACGAGGCCAAGAGGGTCAACATCGCCGATGTCTACTTCAAGAGGAACCGCGTCGACAAGATCTTGGCCCACGCCAGGGAAGCCAAGACGTTTGGTTAGTCATGTTTTTTTTTTTTTTTTATGAGACAGACAATAAAAATTATACTCACCGCGTTTGTACATGCGTGGATAATTGTTATCCAAAGTGCTGGTAATGAAAAAGTCTTTTTTTTATTCATTAGCATGTACTGGTTTCCTCGTGCGTGCTTTTTGCTACGTGCACGTGTACACCGCGATGACAAACGAAAAACACTATAAAATCAATCCGGTGCAGCGCGAATCAATTAGCCGCGACGAGACGAGGAAAAGAGAGTTTCGGTTAATTGAAACGCGCCGGCTGGTGGGTAATTTGAATCGCCGCCTACTTATATGAATTTCAAACTCGACGCGACGAATTACACCTGGAGACGACTATCTTATGCAAGACGAGCCGGTGTGTGTATACCTATATACTGCTAGTGATTCACTCTGGCTCCCTCCCCCCTTTCTTTCCTACACGTACACCGAGTCTGAATCTCATTTCGCGGTCGCCGGTGAATGTTAATTATGTCTTTCGCTCGTGTATCTCGCGCGTTTCTCGTTCTTCCCGAGTTGTAGATTCGGCTTGTCTATTCTCTCTCTCTATGCTACAGTATATGAGCCTGCGATTACCGAATTAGCGTCCCCTCGTTACATACTTAATTTCGCGTCCTTAATGCCATACTTCTCATCCTCGGTACTAGTTTAATGTTTTATTACTAGATTGGAAGCTCGTCGTTCGAGTTTAACCTGCTTGGATGATAATTTATTTTTTTTTGTTTCATTTCATTTCACGCTTGTTTATGATCTTAACCGATCGATCATTACTTTATACTTGTCTAGATATCAATAAAATCGGATTATTTGCCGATATGTGTAACGGTATCATTTTTTTTTTTTTTTTTTTTTTACTACAATATACGTTATTATTATAGTCTCAAACTTAGATTAAAATCGCGACCAGATATTTCATGGAGTATTGGTCCGATAAACGAGATCCGAAGAGTTGTTTACTAATACATCGGCAAGCGGTGTTATCTTTTTTTTTTATTATAAGAGTTACGATCGGTCTGCAATCGCGCGTATGTCCTTGGCAGTATACTGTAACGGAAGCGTGAATCGGTGCATTTTTTTTTTTTGTTTTCAATTTTCGGAAGGAAAATTAATCCCGCGAGGTGACATTTTTTTGCCGGTACACCGTGACGGCGCGAATTTTGCCAAAAAAATTGACACTCGGAGAAATTGCTTGGGCATACAATAACGCACATCGATGAATAAACTATACACGCATGTAAATTCAGACGCAGAACGATGAATAATCCAAGCTGTCCGCGATAAATATGCAAAAGGGGAAAAATATGAGTTGATCGATGAAACGCAAGGAAAAAAAAAAAAGCGTTTTTTTCCGCCGCCTTTGTCCTTCTTTCTTTTTTATCTCCTCGGACGCCGAGAATCCAAGCGCGTCAGCTCGAACGAAGGAGAAAAAACAAAAAGACAAACTAAATTCCAAGACTAACATCTTTTGCGCGTGAAATATATGGGCACATCAACTTTTTTTTCCCCCTTTTTTTTCTTTATTAACCAGAGATGAACCTCCGCGCCGGGCGATAAGATTACGAGGAGAAAAAAGAGCTCATAGACAAAACAACATCTGTTTTTCCACCCGATATATACCGTTACACCCAAGCTCCAGTGACATTGTAAGGAAAAGGAAAAAAAAAAAAAAAAGAAATTCCTCCTTGTTCCAGATGCAGGGGGGCGAGTGAGCAAATCGGGCAGTTCGTCGGAGGAGGCCCAACCGAGCCCACAACCGATCGCCTCCACCCAGCAGCGCCAGTTGGGCTCCCTGGGTGCCCTCAACGCCGGCCCGTCCATCGACAACTGGCGCCCGAAAATCGGTGGCTGGCTGGACCCGGAGCAAACCGCGGAAGCCGAGAAGACGACCATTGGCAGTCCGCCCTACGGCACGGCTCTGACGAGCCTCCATCACAAGCGGAACCACTTGCAGCCACCGCCGAGGGTCCTCGAGGCTCTGCCCGCTTATCCGCACATCAGCACCTCTGCTCTGCCCCACAGGCTCCAGGGGCCCATCTCCTGAGAGCCGAGGCGCGATGGTTGACGCACATGCCCCTCTCGCTTCGGTGGTTTTGGCCGATGACCTCGGGCTCCTTTATCGCCGACTGCGCGCGTCTCCGTAATGGACAAAAGGAAAATTAGTCTTATCGCGGGCGCACATGGGTTTGTGAGCTTTTCGCAATCTGCGATTGAGCGCGATGGCGCATGCGGAGTAAGAGGAATTATAGCGATGGTATATATGTATATTTTTTTGAAAAAAATCCCGCGTGTATATATATAATGTCAGCGAGTGTGATGCGCTAGAATCGTATTGGAAAAATCTGATCGTATATTTGCATGAGTCTTAATAACGTGCGCGCCGAGCGAGCGATCGTCCTTTCGTTGGCTTTTTCTTCGAAGATCTAATGTGTGTGCACTAGAGGAAAAAAAAAAAAAAAAATATATATATATACACGAGTGCATTTTATGGAGGTGAACGACACGTTGNACATATATATATATATATAGATGTCAATTTTACGACCGATATACGTTCGAGACGCGACTTCTCGATTATTAAAGTGTTGGGAGACACGCGCGCGCACGACTGTACCGATAAGTCTTTTATTGGCGAACAATTGATTTAAAAAAAAAAAAAAAGCGAATTTTTGATGTTTTTTTTCCTTATCGGCCAATAGCGTGCTCGTGTCTTTTGGTAAGTTGTACATACATGGATTACGTGTACGAAATCGGAAACGTGCCTTTAACTTTTGTATAATATATATATATGTATCCACGTGTATAAACGATTAAAAGCAGTGACAAAGTCGATAGTACACGTATAATATTGTATTTTATTAAAACACGTGTAAAAAAGATTATTATTATGTGGCTTGGATTTGTAAATATTATATAAATCTTTGACGCGAGAGTGCCTGGGTGTACAACGTAAATAACTTATGAAGCATTTATATATGAGGAACAGAGGAGAAGTGACTCGTGCTCGGCTTTGATAAGAGAGAGGCAATTCATTTAGTTGGTATTTACGTATATACCTATATACACACATCGCGCGAGCTCCATTTCTAGGCCGCTGTTGACGAGATTGCGCACATATGTTTGTTTGTTTTTTTTTCTCTCTTCTTTGGACGATACATAAGTTATCTGTAATATTTTTATCGTGGTAAAATTGATCGAAATGGAAAATAATAAAAATAATTGGTCAAGAGTCAATGATAGCTTGTAAACTCGGGAGGCCTAGAGTCGCGCGTTGCGCCGTCCATTATAGTCGTTTAAAGTGGAAGATGTATGTATAAATGCTATCAAAAATATATAAAAGTAACGACCTGCCGGTCGTGCTTTTTTTTTTTTTTTTTTTTTTTTTTTTTTTTTTTTTTACTACAATATACGTTATTATTATAGTCTCAAACTTAGATTAAAATCGCGACCAGATATTTCATGGAGTATTGGNTAAACTCGGGAGGCCTAGAGTCGCGCGTTGCGCCGTCCATTATAGTCGTTTAAAGTGGAAGATGTATGTATAAATGCTATCAAAAATATATAAAAGTAACGACCTGCCGGTCGTGCTTTTTTTTTTTTTTTTTTTTTTTGTAGCTTCGACCGCACGAAAGTCCAAACAATTCGATGAGTAAGAGACCGACTGCCAATGTTTATCATCTAAGAGGCTCCTAAGCTTTTTATACGACATGATTCTGGTTTCGGTTGCTCTTTTTTTTACGCGTTTCATTTGCATTTCAATGCACTGCCGTCACTGTCTCTCTTTTTATCGACCAAAATGATTCATACATTCGTTTCGCTCGCGCAAACCGAGACACTTTTTTTTGCCGATCGCTCGTCTCTGCACCTCTTTTTTTTTTATTCGCAAGCACTTATGCTGATGTAAAAAAAAAAGGTATCTTTTCATCAACGTGTCTTGTGACGCGAAAATTCGTCCTTATTCATTATTTTCACGAAACGTCAATTGCAGGACAATATTAAGCTTTTCGCGAAAGCGGAAGAAAAGAAAGCCATTCAGTTTTCCTGTACAGCGCACGTAACGATAATGATAACGATTTCCCCTGATGTACATTGACATGCGTGCTGTGCGCGTGTATAATTATGTTATCCGAGCGTGTATTCTTCAATGTATAAATGTGTTGGTACACATGCATGTACATTTTGTATATTACATAAAGACAATGAAATATGAAATTTCGTGTTAATAAAAACGAGGAGGAATGAGAAAAAAACTTAAATTGGTGTACATTTCCTTACATAGGTGTTGCAGTCAAAGTCGTGAGTTACGATTTATCTGTAAAAACCGGTAAGTATACATATATGGCGATTCACACTCCTGAGAGCCCGATTTGGAGAGAGAAAATATATCAAATGAAGGTACATGGTTCTATGCTTTTAATAATACTGTAGAAAAATTACCGATTTCTGCGAGATCGGTATGTATGCACGAAAAAAAAGCCAAAGAGAGATCCACAGAGTATATGACAGAGAACAAGAGCGAATTTCGGTCGCGAAACGGGTTTCAAGCGCGTATCATAAAAGCGTTTCTTCAGAATTTTTCAGAACTGGAACATATTGGGTCGCCGCCGTAAAAGTGGTAAATATACATACCATCCAGAGTTTTTACCATTTTTTTTTCTCCTCCTCTCCCGGGAGAGAAAGTGCGTATAATTTGTGCTCGCAAAATTTCTCCTTATGTTCCTCCTCCTCGTCAAGGATCGGATGATGCACAGAACTTGCTTTCCCAGCAGCGCAATTACTTTCTTCATACATATATACTGTACCTGTACGAGGCCCGGGAGCTGAGATTAAAAATCTGCAACGGCAGTTTTCCCCGTTGCATGCATATATTGCGCCTTTCACACGCGAGCCACTGACCCCACGACAAGGCGTATATGTGTATATATATAATATAATGAAACCTACAGGTATACCCTATCTCAGCATTCAGGTGTAATGGACAAGCAAAGTATATTCTCCTTACCTCGACTCGACTGTGAGGCATCGAGGCCTCGAGGAAATCGGCAACGCTATACTCGGCACACCGTCAGCTTTCCTTCCTTCCCAGCAGCCTCTAATCGGATCGCGGGTATAAATACTATAGATATACCATGTACCAACTCAAAGTAGTCGAGCAAGTGGCGGTTGATGCGGCAGCAGCAGAGGAGCGCATACATATAGCGGAGAGAGAGAGAGAATAAGCGACAAGGCAAAAAAAGCGTTGATGCAGTGAGCGCTGCGAAAGGAGTCCAGCCAAATCAAATAGTCCGCGAGCGGCTGCTGCGGCTGCTGCACCATCCGAGGGGTATACACGCGCGCGCAACTGTCAGTGTGTTTTGTGTGTCATTATCGTTAAGTTCCCTCCTCCGCGCAGCCCCCGTGCGCGCGGGTGGTGTGCATCTCTAGCGGATTACGGCATTGCGGATGAATGCAGTGCCCACACATATATACACATATATATATAAATACCTAGTTAGTTGTTGTCGCGTGTGAGGTTATGCTGTTAATTAATGTGCTTTTAGTGCTTTCGCGATTTTTATCTACTCGCTGCTTGACAGCTGAACTCTGGTGTGCACACGCACGACCCTCTATACTTTCGTGTATTTATATTTTGCGCGCGTGTCTATACCTATACTTGTTGTTTCTGTCTTCTGCTCTCCTTCTCTCATCAGCTCGTTGATCTTATTAATTTGATTTGTATGCAAACTCGCTGCAGAGGAGCCAAGGGTATTGATGTCGAATCGAGGACTTTGGATTTTGGACTTTCAAAAGGAGTTGCACCGACCCGATGAGAGTCGCTTCACACAGTAGTAATAGCAATAACAACAGCAACAACAATGAGCTCAGTATTCTCGAAGCTGCTTGTCAACACGTCAAACAGGTATGGGATACGTCAGGAACAGCTGACTCGCGGTGTCTTGGGCACGGTGACGGCCTTGTACCTGCTGAAGCTCGGCTATCCCTACCTGTCCGCGAGTGCAAAGGCCTGTCTGGCTCAGCTCAAAAGCCACAGGGAAGCGATCAACGGTGGCAGGAGTAATGGCAAAATACAAGAGAACCATCAGGCGAATGGAGCCGTCAAGGGGAAAAAGTCGCCGAAAAAGGCCGTCGACCTGGACAGAGCTTTCCTGAGGCAGTTGCTCATGCTGCTTAAAATCATGATCCCAGGATGGAGGACGAGAGAGTCTGGTTTGCTGGCCTGTGCCACCCTTACTCTCTTGGCGAGGACTTTTCTGTCGGTTTACGTCGCGACCCTTGAAGGTCAGATCGTCAAGAGGATAGTGTTGAGGGATGTCAAGGGCTTTTTTTGGCTGATGGCCCGGTGGTTCGCTGTTGCTTTTCCCGCCACTTTCGTTAATTCGGCCATCAGGTATTTGGAGGGCCGTCTCGCTTTGAGCTTCAGGTACTTACTTTTGTGTACATGTTCCATTCTGTTTGTATAAAAATTGTTTCATTACATCTAACGTATAATTCTCTCTTTTTTTCCGTGATCCCTTCACTCGCAGAGAACGGCTTGTTGACTATGCCTACAAGATGTATCTTAATCAGCAAACCTACTACAGAGTATCAGCCTTGGATACTAGACTTGGTGGAGCAGAACAAAGACTGACGGATGATTTATCAGAATTGGCAAGCTCTGTGGCACACTTGTATTCCAGTTTAACCAAGCCTTTATTGGACTGTGCATTAGTCGGCATTGCTCTGATTTCATTTTCCGCGAGAATGGGAGCTAAAACTATACCTGGTAATAATGGATCGTTATCATTTTTAGATTTTTTTTTTTTTTTTTTTTTTTTTTAATATATANTGACAATGAACCGAGCAGAGTTTAGTTATAGCTGCTTCAGCGCTATTGCTTTCTCAAAAATGGTACTGAAGATTGTACATCGACTGAAGAAATTGTGTAATATGTATTTTTTTTTTTTTTTTTTTTTTTTTTTTTTTTTTTTTTTTTTTTTTTTTTTAATCGAAAATCGCGGAATTATCATGTGTCGATGCATATGTTTTAAAATAATTTTTACTGGTAATTTTCTCTTATCTGCAACCTACACTAAGTGCGTATAATTAAATGATAGATAACGCTTATTGAGTAATCACCAATGTTTTTGTTGTTTTTGACGACTGTCGTCGTGCTTGCTCTGTAATTACTCATCAAGCATTAATATTTTAACTTTGTTTTTTTTTAGTTCTCATGAAAAAAATTTTTTCCAGGTCCACTGTTATCCGTAGCTGTTATTGCATTCACTGGGCAGGTGTTGCGTCTGGCTTCTCCACGTTTCGGACAATTGGTTGCAGAAGAGGCGACTAGAAAAGGAAGATTGAGAGAAGCACATGCCAGGATAAGTGCACATGCTGAAGAAATAGCTTTTTATGGAGGCCACAGGGCAGAGCACAGACATCTGACAACTGCATATAATTCTCTTACCCTGCACTTGAGGAGAGTTCTCGCTCTGAAATTGGGCTACGTTATGCTAGAGCAATTTTTAATGAAGTACGTCTGGTCTGGAACTGGGCTTTTAGTTATTGCTATGCCTCTTCTGTACACCTCAAACGCAGTATTGCAGTCTACTCAGAATACTGATGGCGACGGTGGTGTTAGTGAACGCACTAGATATTTAACAACATCCAAAAATCTTTTGATATCTGGAGCAGATGCAGTGGAACGTCTCATGTCTTCTTACAAGGTACTTTTTGTATCTTAAAAAAATACTTTTTCTTATTTAGACTTTTTTTACGAAACAAAAAATACATCTTACAGGAATTAGTTGCGCTTGCTGGTTATGCTAATAGAGTAAGTGAAATGTTGGATGTATTCAAAGATGCTGCTGTGTGTAAATACAGGAGAAATGTCGTAACAACTTACCAAACTCGAACTTCCAATGGAACCACTCATGACCAAAAACTTGTTGAATTTCAAGATGGAATACCTGTAATAAAAGGTTAGCAAAAATTGTTATTAACTCTAAAGTAAAAATATTTTATCTTTAATTATTATATGATGTTTTTACTTTTCAACAGGAATCGTAAAAGAGAGCGTTGACGGCAGTATTAGCTTGATCGACGTGCCAATAGTAACTCCAAATTGTGAAGTTATAGTATCTCGTTTAACATTAGAAGTACGTTTTTATGTCGTCAATTTTGAAAGTATTAAATCATTTTCATATATTTATTTGCATTCTTTTTTTTTTCAGATTAAACCAGGTGATCACTTGATCATTACCGGCCCCAATGGCTGCGGAAAAAGCTCGCTTTTTAGAATAATTTCCGGTCTCTGGCCCATTTACGGCGGTATATTAACTAGGCCTGGTGAATCGTATTCATTAAAAACTGGAAGACCATCCCTGTTTTACATCCCGCAAAAGCCATACATGACGGTGGGATGTCTTCGAGACCAAATAACTTATCCAGCAGAATGTAAAAAAGAAGAATGTTCAGACAAAGAGTTACTGGAGCTCTTAAATTTGGTAGATTTACGAGGGCTTGTCGAACGAGAGCCAGATGGCCTTGATGCTCGCGGTGATTGGGACTCAACTTTGTCAGGTGGCGAGAAACAACGTTTAGCCATGACTAGATTGTTCTATCACGCTCCTCAGTACGCCCTCCTTGATGAATGCTCGAGTGCCGTCAGTCTCGAGGCTGAGGGTGCCATGTACGAGACTGCCAAGAAAAAGGGAATCACCTTACTAACCATTACTCATCGAGTGTCTTCCTTGTCAAAGTATCATCGACTGGTTTTGCGTTTTGATGGTGAAGGCGGATGGAGCTTAGGACCACTAGATGCTGAGAGCGCGACAATCATCCATAACAGTAAAGAAGAAAAAAAAAAGGCAGAGGACATCAACGAAAGCAGGTTTGAGTCTTACGTTATTAATCACACCATTTTGGCGCGTATGTTGTTTTTTTCGAATTAAATAAAATTTAGTTTTCCTTAAACCTACAATTTTTTTTCTAATTTCAGGACATCCATAGTATACTCAGTGGGGAAACGCACAATGGTATAAGCTGAGTATCTTACATTTCGACCCTATAATATATACTATTTACACAAGTTGTTTCGATTTATCGTCGATTGCATGTGAATGTATATAAATATTTTTGATGTAGAGTTATTATATTGTACAAAAGATATATTCTCGTATTTTTTATAGAAAGTATGTCAATTAGATTTGAAGTTTATCAGTGATATTGCAATATATTATTGAGAGCGATGACCAGATGAATTTGAAGTCAGAAAGTAACGCGAAGGCACCCGCACTCAACATTTCAGCAATATTTAATTATATTTTATAACAATTGAGCTCTTTGATTCAATGTCGTGCTGGTGTCTCTGCAAAGTTACTATAAATTGACTCAAATCGTCACTCTCTCATTTTTATTAAAATTACTAAATCGTTAAAGAGAATCTACCTGTAATTAATACGAATTTGTTATAGAAATTGTAAATTTGTAATTCTAGGAATTTTTAAATTAAATTTTTTCTCGAATTAAATTCTCTCTTTGGAGAGGAGAGAAAATTTTTTTAGTCATTTTTAAAAATCACTTCTTCTCAATAGAATGTCATTGTGATATAAATTTTTAGACATTTTAAAAATTTCATAGCTCTGTAAACAATATTTGAAGCGTTTAAGTAGCTAAGAAATAGAAGTATAGATATATTTTTATGGTTTAGCGATATTAATTATTACTAAAAATGAAGTCCCGATTTAACTTTAGAAATTCATATCAAAAAGTTCCTTTTAAAATTATTCTTCCATTAATAGTAAAACAAAATGATGCAGCCCACAAAGAACGCATACAATGTAGGAAGACTCCAAAAAAACGAATAAACATGATAAAAAAAGAAAAGAAAAAAAAATCCAACCGATATTTATTTTTATATTTTATCAACAGTGTATATACTACTGGCACCAAAAACATATAATGGATCAATAAAATGAATGAAAAAACAATAAAAAAAAAAAATTCAACGAAAAGTAATGTTATTAGTACCTAAAGTAATGCCAAATTTGCGATAGTTGTGACTTTTCTATTTTTCTAAATTTTTTCTAGGCTAAAATAATAAAATTTGCCTAACGTTGCTACGTCAACTATACAATAAGTTATATATATAAAATCTTTCCTCAGAGATACTCCTTAGGTATTTTTTTTTTGAAATGTGTAAACTAATAATGGTTTAGAGCAAATATTTATACAGATGAAATATATTTACGGTACCTTAATGATTTATTAGCGGTTACAGATGTATAAATAAATCGGCACGCATAAATACATATATATATATATTCATATTCACACGTACACGCAAAGTCGCGAGGGTTCACCAAAACGGTATAATTAAAATAAAATATGTTTATTACGATTGTACAACTCGATTCATTTAATCAGCACACATATGTTTATGTAATGTTAGGTATCTTTAAATGTAACAAAAAAAAAAAAAAAAAAAAAAAAAAAAAAAAAACGGCTCGTTTACTGTAACTGCACGAACCATTTGTCCAACCTGTGTATCGAGTAAGGAAATTATTTTGAGAATAAATGGAAAAAAAAAAAAAAGGAATCAAGACACAATATCCACCTTGTAATTAAATTATTAATATTCCTCCCCATTCAGCTTATAATCATTCTAGTGCTGAAAGCCCGTGAAAAGCAATTATGATTTTTGGAAAAAAAAAAAGGACGAAATCAAACGATTTTCAATCGCGCGCGTGTATATACACGCTCGTTGCAATCGGAAACTCTGTTTTCGATGGAGATGCCGTAAAAGTGCTTTACTCGTCGAGAGAGAGAGAGAGAGAGAGAGGAGAGCTTGAATCGAGGTAATTGCTTTTGCTCGAGTTTCAGCGAGTACAGGCGTGCAAAGGTATATACATCACACATTTGCAGGTATTTTTTGCACGATAAAGACTGTACATATGTTGCGTATCGAAAATATAAGTACAGAGGGAAAAAACAAGAGCCGCGGTTGTAACGTCCGGTAAACGGTATACAGATTAAGTGGCGGAGAGGAAAAAAAGTAGCGCGAAGGCATCCCCGAAAGGAAAGCCCGCAAGGCTGACGCGCCGGGGGCATTAATAACGCTCCGATTTACCTCCAAAGAGAGATATATATATAAAATATATACATGTACATACGCGCATAGAGAGAGGAGGATCGGTGATGGGTAAAAGCGCAAGACGAGATCCTGTAGAAAACAACTCGGGACGCTGCGGAGAAAAATTTAATTACCGTTTCTTCCTTTGTTTTTGAAACGAGAGGGATGAGATATGTATATGTACGTGTGTAGGGTGGAGGGGACCGATCGCAAAAGCAAAAGACAGCAGGCGGGTATACGTATACAAGAGGCACATGCAGACAGAGAGAGAGAGAGAGAGAGTGAGTTGGGGAGGGAAGACCCGCAATTTCCGATGAGCTTACTACCTCCGGGGAAACCCTCCAAAGGCCAAACGTCGATATACCTACGCCCGCGCTTTCTCTCGCTCGCACCCCTCCCCTTCCTCTATTTTATTTTACTTTTTCTCTCTCTTTATTTTTTTTTTTTACAACGGCCATCTTGGGGGTTGTGCTCTCTCTACGTACGTGTATAGGTATATATACCTCGGGTGCGCCATCCACAACACCCATTGTATAGGTATACGTTTTTCCGCGTTGGCGTTAAACCTAAGAAAATATTATGCACGCGGAGCCGAAAAACGGGAAGGATAAAAGTACATATACTTAATGTAATACGTATATATAGCGTCGCAGCGGAGGGTTGAGTCGATAAAGAGAGCGGAGGCGAGTGGAAATTAAGGGCGCCGGGGGAGGAGAGAGAGAGAGAAAAGAGGCTCAGCGGGCACTACCGGCTATGTACACACATACACCGGAGGGGCAAGCCTCTTTGTCTAAATAGCCGATTGAATTACACGCGGAGAGGAGGCGCGTGCCAGCCGCTCGGGAGAAAGCTCCTTTGGACGACGACGACTCGTCTCTCTCTCTCTCTCTCTTTATCTCCTTCGCATCTATCTGTCCGACTCTCTGATGCCGTGGCGAGGGGCACCGTGGGTGCCGGCCGCAATATTCACCACCTTTACCCCGGTACCGGTACATATATTTGTATATATACATATATCGGTTAATACCACCTACATCGCGCCGGTGGCGGCTTTGCGGCCTTTTGTGGCGCGCACGCCTCCCGTGTTTGCTCGCGGCTAATTAAATTTTACCCGAGGTATACACATATACATATCATACATGTGCGTATATATATATATATATAGGTGTATACCTCGCGCTCGTGTGTCCACGGGGGGATTATCTGCGGGGCAATCAGGGGTGTACGCCTGTCTGTCATCTCCCCGGGCCGCGCAATCAGTCAAACCGACACCCAGGGGTCGCACGGCCCCCGTGTAAAGGTTGATGCCGCCGCAGCATCCTCCCCCTTTTAAGCGTGTATGTGCCCCTCAGGTGCGCGAGCGAGCAAACACAGGTGCAACGTACGGGTCTCTGTAACATAATGAAAAAAAAAAAGGAGAGGGGGGGGGCGGGTAAAAAAAAGTATATAATATATCGGGTGACCCGCGGTGGCGACCAGGTGACTCCGGAAGGACCGCCGGGCCCGGAAGTGCGTCCGGAATCGCGCGCGCGCTCGATCGGTGCATCCACGCTACATAATGTATATACGGAGAGAAGGTGATGAGCGACGGAGAGCACAAATATATGTATATATGTGGACAGCAGGGTCTCGGGTTCTCGCGGGCATGCACACGTGCACGGGGTGTTGGTTTACTGGTTGGGGCGCGAGTTAGCCACGGCCGATTGGCCACCCGGTATTCGCGCATCGCCGCAAATTTGGAAAATCGGCCCGAAAAATCAACCGGGCCAGACTCGCTGTCTGTACACACACACACACCAATGTATACGCACAATGTAGGTTGCACACCTTGTATACAACGCGGAGAGGGCAAAAACGATGCACCGGGACATGGGGATCGGTCAACCGGTCGAAATTAAGGGAAGGCATTACGAGCCAGTGATCTCGGGGTGCTGCTGTTCTCTCTCTCTCTCTCTCTCTCTCTTCCTCCCATACATTATATATATTGTGTATAATAATATCGCAAGGACCACCGGGCTGGTATACGGTGTGGTAATGCTATACGGGCGAAAAATATATCATACGTATATGATGTACGCATAATAATAATACACGAGAGTATATATATATATGTATATATAACTATATGATCGGAGAGCGAGAACCAACGATCTGGCTCTCGATCGCTGAATGAGCGATTAGTATCCCGTGTCCTCCGAGGGCCGATGTGTGTGTGTGTGTGTGTATCGTCTCGCCCCCGCCCTTCCATCGCCTACCCTGTCTACCGCTGTCTTGTCTCGTTTCTTTGTTTTTTTTTTTTTTTTTTTCTCTCGTCGTCTTGATGTCAACTGCCCTCCGCTCGGTTGGTCAGTCAGTCAGTCAGTCGGCTCTCGCGCGCTCTCCTCCGCAGCCCCGTGCCGAGAGCTTTCGACAGCGCGCTGCAAGCTCCTCCGCCCTCTCTCTCTCTCGCAAGTGATTGTTGTTACTATTTTTCCCACGGTTTAAACAAACAAGCGCGTAGTGATCGCGAGTGCCGATTTTTTTTCGATTCCGGCGCCGATCTGGATTATCCGTGCGACACGGGTATACTTTGCAAGTATACAGAAGAGCGTCGGTGTGAGAACAAGAGAGAGAGAGAGAGAGAGTGAGTGGGGCCGAGGGATGCGGACTCGCTCGTGGCTGACAGCGGGATGGTGGCTGCTTAGTTAGGGACTGGCTGGTGTTGTGTGCGCGCCGCGTATGTGCTCTCTCGTGGCGCACGTAACGATAATACACTTCAAGTTCGCGGTGTCATGTCGAAAAAGGGATCCCGTGTAGATTGTGCGGACGTACGATTTCCTTGCACTTGGCGCATCCGAGTACTCACACACGTGCTTTGCTCTTTGGATTCATGAATGGAAACGGATCGGCGGTCTCGCGGGCTTTGACGCGCCGAAGCCCTTAGGAGCGGTGGAATAAGCGGGCGCGGCCAGGTCTTCCAAGCCATAAAGTTGCGCAAGCACGTGTGTGCTCTCCCTTTCCCTCTCTGGCTCGTCCGATCGGCAACTCTTTTTTTTTTTTTTTTTTCCTTTCGTTTGCCTTCGGTCATTCATGAAAAGCCGCGAGCTCACCGCTGCTCTCGGCTTTTGGGCTTTTTTCGGGGAAAAGCGCCCGCGCGGGGCTGAACTAGGAGGGAGGGTTGCCACCACCACCACCATCGCTAGGTCCGTGGTAGCGATGCCGACGCTCCGCCGGAGGCTGCAAGCTCGCCGCGGTTGCCGGGACAACGACGGGAGAGGCCGGACCAGCGTATCGGCCCGATAGGAGGTGTGGAAGCTGAGGACATTTAGAGAGAGAGAGAGAGAGATACATACATATACATCCGCTCGCTGCTGAGGGACAAGGAAGAAGGGACGCGTAGCTCCTGTGCAGGCTCGCCCGCGCTCGCGCAGCTTCGAGCCCGCGGGGATATGTTCCTACGGGAGGCTGACGATCACAATTTCGTCGAGATGGAGTTTCTCCAGAGCCACCATTCCGCCAACAACTCCGAGTCGCCCTACACTCTCGGCACGGGTACGTACTTTTTTTTTTTTTGTTTTTTTTTTCTATCTTTCACACCGATGAGCTTGCAAGCTCTTCTATCCACCTCCGACGGGGATAATAGCTGCAACTGCGGTAAAAACTTGTGCTTTTTTTTCCCAACCCATTGCGATTAAAGAGTTTGAACGACACAACGAGAAAAAGTATACAATCAACCCCGAATCCCTTCATGGAGTCCTTTTATTTCTGTTTCTGCGGTCCCGTGCTATTGGAAGCTTATGGCTCGGTGATTTTTTTTTGAACTAAAAAAATAGCCGTCGCTTGGACGGTGTACTCGACGTTATCTGTTCTAGTCGCAGTAATTAAAAAAAAACCTACGAGCGTGTAATTTGTATAATTGAACATATAGATCTATCTTGTGCAGTCCACCCACGATGTGGGTGATTTTTCACGTTTTTTTTTCATTTACATCCAAATGAAGGCTCGGTGGGGAGCATCGAGGCTAGCATACCGTCGGGCCTGTGCTCGGGCTCGCTGGGCGGCGACGAGGACGCGGACGCGGAGCCCGAGGACCACCACCACCACCACCACCACCATCCAGAGCACGGCCTAGTGGTTTTACAGGAGAGCTTGCGGCTGCAGGACCTTCAGAGCCCGGGGGACGAGGATCAGCAGCAGCACCAGCCGCACTTGTCGCAGCACATCCAACAGCAGCAGCCCGCGAGCGGCACGACGACGCCCGCGCCCGGCTCGTCTGCCCAGCTCGTGGGCGAGTTCGGCACCAGCTTCTGGGTCGACGACATGGCTGGTTTTCCGCTGCCGCCCCTCGACCTCGACCCCCTGCCCCCCGGACTCTTCAGCCCCTGCTCCGGAACTTACAAGTGAGAGAGCGCGAAATCAACCCTTCGTCATTCATACGATGTGTCATTTTTCCTCCTTTTTTTTTTTTTTTTTTTTTTTTTTTTTTNTTTTTTTTTTTTTTTTTTTTTTTTTTTTTTTTTTTTTTTTTTTTTTTTTTTTTTTTTCACCTGCAGGTCTCTAGACTGTACATTATTTGTCAAACTAAATCCTCCCAATCGCTTTTCTTTGTAGCTTAAAAATGACAAATGTTTTCAACTCGTGCAAATACCGAAACTCGAAAGTCACTGTGTAGATACATTTTTAATATTCTCGTAGCAATCGTGAACATTTCTTTTACAGCAAGCTGTCAACTGTATGTGTTTGTTTTACCCTGACTGAAGAAAAACCAAACATGAACAACAAAATTTTTACTTATTTTTCGGAGTAATTGCTCCACACAGGAGTATCTTGTAGTTTTACCTGGCACTAAATAATTTTGAAAAAGTTTGAACAATAATATTAAAATAGTCCATGCTGGTCCCGTAGTACAGGTGTATTTCGATTCTCGCAGAAAAAGCTTTGTTTTTGTGCCATAAGTTGACGGTATACGATTTGTAAAGTTTCATGGAAGAAACATTTTTTTTTTTTCAAATTTATATGTTTTTACATCACAGGTCCACGAAGAGTATCAAAAAATACTACTCTTTAGTATTTTTATTCATTAAAATGACGTAAAATATTGTTAAGGAAGTTTATCGGCTGTAGCTTTGATAGTAATTACAGTTTCAAGTATTAAGGTAGAGATGTTAAACAAATTTAGTTTTTGTTATACTTTTATTGTTTTTATGAGAATTATCTATGTATACCTTTAAGATGTGTGAAAAAATATGGGAAAATAAATTAGTTTTTATACAATTTCATGACCCTAAGCCTGACATTATAGGTCTGCAGTAACAAAAAGTTTCGGATTTTCTCCAAAAATGAGTTTTTTTTAATAAGATTTTTTTTTTCTGGTGCGTAAATTCTGATGGTCTAAATCGAAAATTTTTCAAATCACAAAAAAAGGTAGTTTATTTACCTGTTACAGTAAATAAACGACGTATTAAGACATGGTTACGATCAAAAGGTTGTAAATTCTGACAAAGCATATAATTAATTATACGCATTTTTCTTTTTTAATTATGATTTTCTTCAAAGTTGCATTAAACGTCGATTCATACTTTTATACTTATCATTGGTTGACGTAAAAATGAAAAAAGTTAGGTTTGCTTGTCAAAAATAATTTTTTTAGCATTAAAATAATAAATCACCGAACAAAATTTTTCAAATCGTACAATAAATAATAGTTGAAAGCAAAAGAATAAGTCAAAGAATTTGGCATGAATTTGAGTTGTATATTGAAAAATTTTATGAGTGTCATGTCTAAGTGTCTTATTAAAAGTTACTAAAGTTTACTTCAAGTTCGCGGTGTCATGTCGAAAAAGGGATCCCGTGTAGATTGTGCGGACGTACGATTTCCTTGCACTTGGCGCATCCGAGTACTCACACACGTNTAAATTCGTGCTAAAACTGCTACTTCATATCTTCAATTAATTTTTTTATTTATTTACTTTTCAAAGAAGTAGTAAATTTGTTCGAAGTAGAGTTCAGAGGACCTCCGAGGCCTTTAAAACTATATATCTGTAGCCCTGAAATGTGAATCTGCAATGGCGGCTGTGAAGGCCTCCTAGAAAAGTCATAATATTCTATTTGGATTCAGAAAGAATTCATGGCATGCTCTTTTATAACATTATAAAAGAATCGAGCATGTTTTTGAAGCCTAAAAAAACTCTTTGCCTTTTTTTTAACTATACGTCATTTGACACTTTTTTTATGGATTTCAGTTCTAGGTACGAATAATTTTCGAGTTTCGGGATTTGTGATGTGAAATTCTTATAGTTTTAAGCTACAAAAAGTTACTGATTAAAGCCGTGACATACTCAATTTGGAAAATGATGGATTCTGGTTCACTCAACGGATTTTATTGTTCTTCCGTTTGATTTAAAACGATAATTTTCCACCAGACGCAATTTAATGGCACAAAATAAATCTTTTTTTATTCAAACACTTGTGTTTTATATTGAAACTGAGTACGACCATTTTCAATAGATATCGTATATTATGTATGAAGGAAAAGCTTGATCCGCGAGAAGCCGTACGGATTTCAATATTTCCGACATCGCGGTGTATACGAATATCTTCGATTTAATTTTAACGTTTTACGCTCGAAGAGGATGGATTGCTCACTAAAAAATATCCCTTTTTTATATTGATTAAAACGTTTTTTTTTCCAATGGATTTCAAATATACTACTGGTAACATAAAAGTATACTGATCTGATGTACCCGGGATCGCATAACGACAAACATTTAACGATTTTTCCTCCCTTCGATCCACGCAATGATTTCCATTGCGCGATAAATGGAAAAAAAAAAAAAAAGGTTTAACACTACGCTTGGCGTGCACATTGACAGTTGGGGTTGCGCGCGGGGCGAGTGCCTACCACGGCCGGGCAACATAAACGGCGAGGGAATGGCCGACGTCCTGCTGTCCCTGAAACACGCGGTGGTCCACCCGTCGAGCCCCACCGGCGGCTACTACTCGACACCCGCGAGCCACGGCTACTCGCCCCAGGACTACGGCCAAAACTTCGCACCCGCCCCGACGAGCGGACACTACGCCCAAGGCCCCGCCATGTCCGTCAACGTGTCCATGAACATGACCATGAACATGAACATGCATCCGGGGTGAGCTCTCGCAGTATAACATCCCTCCAAAAGCTCGACGAGTTGAAAGCTCGCCGTACTGTCGTTTATTTCGGTCGCCTCCCATCCCTTTTTTACCAAATTGACTCTCCATGTACGACTTCAATGCTCAACTGCTCGTCTCGGTGGGTACACGTTTTATTTATTTTTTTTAAAAGTTAATTGAACAAAAAATCCAAATATCTCTCTTTTTCTCCCGCTGGGGATGCAAGGGGTGGGTGGGTGGGTACAGGGCACGGGAGAACGAAGGTGCGCAAGCGAGAGAGAGGGGAGTGGGAGTCGTGGGTGGCGTGGCGAGCTTTCGACTGGTCGGGGCTTGGATTCACCGTGTATTGTATACCTACATGTGTACGTGGGCACACAGGCACGGGTACGAGCAGAACTACAGCGGCGCGTGGGGCGTGGAGCCGTTGCTCAGTCCCGCCCCCCAATACGCGGGGGTAGAGCATCAGCAGCAGAGGGTGAGCCAGGCGGCGGCCAATAGCTTGGCGGCTGCGGCTGCCGCTGCGGTGGCTGCCACCTCCGCGCACCCCCAGCATCAGGTCCATCACCACCATCACTCGCATCACCACCACCCCCAACAACAACAACAACAACAGCAACAACAACAACAACAACAACAACAACAACAACAACAACAACAACAACAACAACAACAACAGCAGCAGCAGCAGGCGGAGCACGTGCTTTGCGCGGCTGGTCTGGCCCAGGTTGGCTCTGGTATCGCGGGACACGACGACCAGGCCAGGCCGAATTTGTGCCGGATATGCGGAAAGACCTATGCCAGGCCGAGCACCCTCAAGACGCATCTCAGGACGCACTCCGGGGAAAAGCCCTTTAGGTTCATTACTGCGTCACGACCATTTTTTATTCGAGAAACACCTTTTTTTTTTTTTTTATTTATGCAGCTACACATTTTCTTTGCATGATTTTACGTTTCAACGGCTCGGAAATGGGGACTCAAACTGTGTATAAGACTCTTACATGTCGACATGTTTGTTGATCGAAAGTTGGGAAAAAAAAAAAAGTAATCTCATCGAGTCTCGATAGGGTCGTGTTTGAGAATTATCAATACTACCCGAGGGGCTGCGCACTCTGAATCTTTTGGAGACTTAGAATGACTTATGAAGTCTTTTTTAATGACTTCAAGAGTGCGTAGCCCCTCGATACTACCTTTTTTACATATACATAAAAGCAATTACTGTTCGTGTACGAGCCAACTTTTTTTTAATTTTCCGTCCAAAAAGCACTGGATATCGCGGAAATTTTTTTTTACACCAGTACAAAAGCTATTACTACATTTATGAGTAAAAGTACACGTGTTTTGAAATTTATTCATAGTAAATTTATTCGCGGCCGCAAAATCTACATCAAAGTTGTTCTCTCAACGCAAAAGGCGACGTTTTCATTTACACGGCGATAAAATCAAAAGTAAAAATTGGATGAAGTAACGATAAGCATCCCGTTTTTTCTCGAACACTGAAAACATCACCATTTACCCTCGAATCAAGTAAAATGTTGATAAACACATACAAACGAAAAAGAAAAAGAAAAAAAAAAAAATTAATTATTATGCTCGACGACACAGGTGTCACGCCTGCTCAAAGGCATTCAGTCAGGCGGCAAATTTGACGGCTCACGCAAGGACGCACTCGGGAGAAAAGCCCTTTCGCTGTCCAGTGTGCGACAGGCGATTTTCGCAGAGCAGCTCCGTCACGACACACATGAGAACACACTCCGGAGAACGGCCCTACAGGTGCGTCTTACCCATGCGTATTTTATCACAATTGCCCACCCATCAGAGGCTTTACTCGCAATACTCAACAATGCGGTACAGGCCATCAGCTTCTTTATTCCCCGTATCGGCTTACTCGCACTCTCTCTCTTTGACGTAAATTTTGGGGGAGACCTACTTGAGAGTAAAAAAATTGTTTGAAATGACAGCGAGCGAGTAAATCATCGTGATCGAACTTGCAGGTGTCGGTTCTGCAAGAAGGCCTTCTCGGACAGCTCGACGCTGACGAAACACCTGAGGATCCACTCGGGCGAAAAGCCGTACCAGTGCAAGCTCTGTCTCCTGAGATTCAGTCAGAGCGGCAACCTCAACAGGCACATGCGAGTCCACGGGGGCGCTCTGACGTGACAAAGTGACGACCATCCGACCATCACGGCCACCGTTCATCTCGCTCATCGCCATCAGCTCGTCGAGCCCGAATCCTCCTCCTCCTCCTCCTCCTCCTCGTCGTTTATGCTGCCACAGTGCTGTCGCATACCCGTCATCGCGTTCGGCATGGACTGCTTACAACGAAAATTACAATAAATCTATATATGTTGTTGCGTTACTTGTATCAACAAAAAAGAATCATTCCTTTCGAGGCGTCGAGACGAACTTAGGCGCGTGTACGAAAATATTTGCCGTGCGCGCAGTTGTCGGTAGCTAAGATATTTTTTATAAACGAACACGTAAGTTTTGTAATTCAGATCATTCGTAGGGACTTTTGTTAAGGAAAATAGCGAATTTAAGAAAAAAACATAATAAAACGCATGTTGCTTCGATGTTTATTAGAAATAATTGTATAGATGCGTGCATTAAATGAAAAATCAATCGCTTCGATTGGGTGAAGTTTCGAAATTTCGAAAAGCAAAACTAGTCTGAATTATGAATTTTGTCCAAAAATAAAATGTTTAAAAGTGAAAACCAAAAATTCGAGAATGAGACGTATAATGGAGAGACCTGCGGAGTATTGCGTACATATACATGCTGTACGCGTTACCCACGGCACCGTTCATGACGATATATTGTTTAAGATGTACAAATATTGTATTTATTATAACGATTATTATTATTATTATTATTAACTGTAATTAAGACTGTGTTTTTATTTCAGCCAATTCTTAGACGACTGTTTATTTTTTTAAACTATATCTCTTCCAATGATCGTTGAATGATTGCAATTCCCCGTTGTTTATTAACTTTACGCATCAAAATTAATAAAAAATTTTAAATTATAAAACGGTAGGACTATTTAATTTTAAAAAATTAATCACGCCAATTTTTGATATGCTGCTAAATGTTCGAAATTCTTGGTGTATCTTCCGATGATAACGATGATGCCTGAAATGGGCATTGAAAAACGACACCTTGGCAAAACAAGAGAAAAAAAAAATTTGGACCATTATTTTACGATAGAGCCTAAAAAAATTCATTCATTCTATATCCAGCGTTAAATATCACATTTTAGTACATTTTTAGCTATTTTTTTTATCGATGAGACTCTCAATTTAATTATGTAACAATAATTAGAACTGAAAATGGTTATAAAATACTGCATTTAATCTGAAACGCAACGATCGTTATAATTAAATTTTTTACGAAATTAAGATGAAATCATTACACCATTAGTCCTTTGAGTTCATCTTAATGTCCATCAGCCACATAAATTATAATGACCCGAGTTAATAGAATTATTTGGTTTCCTTTTGTACAAAGCATAGATTCTATATCGTTACATATTTACGATTGAGCGTAAAGTTTGTTAAACTAGATTAAATTTTGTTCCAGAAACGTGCGATTGAAACCAAAGTGGTGCTTTAGGTTTGAATATTCTTAACAAGTTTTTTCTTGATTAATGCTAAGATGGAATACCAATGGGTAACAATGAGCACAATGACGAAAAAAAAAGACAAATGAATTGCATCAATGAAAATTTTATTCTATCTATGAGCAACTTTTGTTTCCTATACATTTTTTTATGAATACCGAATCAAATTTACTAATCGGTCAGTATGTTACGTATAAAAAATTTTGTAAAATAAAAAATGAAAGATAAATTTTTTTCAAATCTACAGTGCAAGCACTCGCACACGCATACTTTTTCGGATTAAGTCAACAAAAGAGGGACTCTTTATCAATAGTAAAAATGTTTCAACTATTTAAAGGTACTAGATCACGATCGCGAGTCTCAGAATGCGGTTACGCGTTGTCAGACTTTAAACTCTATCTATTGTTCGAATGCGTTTGTGCAGAAGAAATTGAAAGATAGATATAAATATAAATAAGGGACAAGGCAACCAGCCACCAGTTGGAAATTTTAATAAATGCTCGTTTAAATTACAGGATTATTATTATTATTATAATTATTATTATTGTAATATTGCTGACAAGTTTCAAACTTTGCACTGTTTGAATCTATTTTTGGGAAATTCTGAATTTTTTTTATTGTTTATTCACTTCTCGCTAGCTTACCGCACATGCACTTTCATTTGCACATATTTCGGTTATCTTAATGTATTAATGGAAGAAAAAACTAATTGCATTTGGGATCTTTTGACCCAGAAAAACTTACACACTAATGAGTTCCGACGTGACGTCAGACTTTGCACTTTAACTTTCAAATTGTCACCAACTTTTTCTTTGTCTGGAATGATTTACGAAATCAAATTAATACATGAAAAAGTCTTTATTTTTAATGTGATGATTTTTATTTATATAAATTTCATATAAATAATGAGTTTAAAGTTATTACTGCGATCGTTCGTTTCAAGATTTTAGCGCTCGAGAAATAATGTTTCAAATAAGAGATATCATCTCAACAACAAAATTGGTCTTTCACAGAAGAACCTCTCGTTTAAATTACTGGAGGTAAAATTTAAAGTTATTTTCGTCAACAGTACATTTCACTTGAAACCGAATCGATATGTGAGTTCTTGCACATTTACTTTTTATTACTCATTAATATTATCGTAGTCGTCACTGTCATTGATCGATATCGTTTACTTCACGTTTTTATTATTTTTCCCTTCCCTAGAAACACCAACTAAAATCAAAGAATATTATTTTTCAATTTTTTTTTCTTCTTTAATTCTACTTTACAGTACTTTCAATCGAAAAAAAATATTTTATATTCTTATAATCATTGAATTACCATTAAAATCTGCTGATAGCGTGTACAGACAGTTCATTTTTTACATACGCATTGCTAAATCTATAACTTTCACGCACAGTCAAACAGTTCGTTCGCTCCTTAAAAGCTTAAAATAATATTCATAATGAAAATGAAAAGTGAAATTCATTCTTTTTCTTTCTTTTTTTTTTTTTTTTTTTTTTGCTTTTCAACTACGAAATATCCAGAGAATAAGGAATCACAATATCAGTATGAAATATTTTGTTTATCAGAAATCATAGAAAGAAGATTAAAACTGTGGAAAAAAAAATTTTTGTTTTCGTAACTTTTTGCACATGAATACTTAGTGATAATTCAGCGTCATTCAAAATTTGACGAGCCATCGATTCATACAATAAAAATTCTTTGTTTCGACCTAAAGACACTGTGGCACAGCTTTGATCTTTTCAAAAAGGTTCGGGGTACGATTTTACAATATTTTTCACGAAAATATAAGTAGTAGTCGCAGACTGCAGTTACAAACTTATTTATAAAATTCGCTGTGGGCACATAAAATTATAACAAAACTAGGACAGGTAAAAAATTTCAAATGAAATATTCTCATTAGATTGTCTCACTTATGCTCGGACTTTATTTTCTATAAATGTGTAGAATATTTATTCATATTGGATTGATTGAACAAAAAATTACTAATAATATGTGATAATAATAATGAATTATTGACACAACAGTCTTCTACTTGAAAGAAAAATGAAATATTTTTGTCAAGAAAATTACTTCACACATGGATAAGTGACAAATATCATTTGACACCTGAAATACCCTAGGTATATTACAACCAAGTGTTATAATACGCCTAAGATATTTAACAAGTTTTCAACTAAAAATTACCCCAAGGAATACACAATGAATCGCATCGCAAATCATAAAACGGCAACTCCGTGACCCGTCAACTCAAAACGCGCGTGTGGATGATAAAAAATATTCACATCAGTATTGCATGAATTTGAATGGTTGAAATTCATTTGAAAAAACGCTGCTTACTTTTAATAAAAAGAAAAAAGGAGAAAAGAGAAAAAAAAAAAAAAAAAAAAAAAAAAAAAAAACAAGAGTCTATGAAAGCGCTTTCAGTCGTCGGCACGGAGCAGTTGGTCTCGAGCGCAGATCGGCGAAACGAAACATTCTTACAACTCAACATCCCGCTCTTTTTTATTTTCTCTCACGATCGCTACATGTGTCACATGCGTTGGGACACGTCTGTCTGTAAGTCTGTCTGTATGTATATATATGTAATATTTATTAATGTCAACGTGTGTGTATGTGTGTGTGTGTGTGTGTTGAGTGGGCTCTGGATGAACCCCGTCATTCTTTGACTCAAGTCACTGTAGTCAACTTATTATTTGGGCTCGACGATAATTGCGACGATGAAGTAGAAGACGATGGAGATCTTGTTTGTAGCGGTTGTCGTGGTGTTGTAGTTGTGGTTGTTGTTGATAGTTGTCGAGGTGGTGGTGGTGGTGGTGGTGATGGTAATGAAGGTTGGTAATGGTGATGTTTGTTGATTGTTGTTGTTGTAAGACAAACTTGCTGCATTCGGATCCGCGAGAGCAAACTCAACCAACTTGTCAACGCGGACTTGGAGCGGGCGGGCTCGGCCGAGGATCCTGATCACTGACCATGTGCGGACCAAGATGTACGGCCGGTGGCGGACCGGCCTCGACTTTGTCCGAAACAGGACGAAGAGAGGGAGACGGGCCGCCGGCCGGTGATGGGGCTGCGGGTCCCTGGACAATAGAGTGTCCGCCGCCTGGAGGCGGGGGCGCCGAGTCGTGCGGGGTCGTCGAGTGGGCCTGCTGCACCGGCAGAGCGCCCGCGTAGTAGCCGCCGTTGATGCCCTCCGGGTAGCTGCTGCGGAGAAAGCGAAAAGAAATTGGCCACGTGGACTTTTTTTTGCATTTCGAATGTGTCGGAGGACATCTCATAGTTTTTCTCTCTCTCGGTCCCTGTCTCTCGCATCGACTCTTTTGCTTTCTTTTTGTTTGCTCGCTCCCTCCCAACATTCGCTAAACTTTACTTTGTCTCTTTCTCTTTCTCTCTCTTTTGTTTCTTATTGCGTCGCTTGCTAATTCTTCCTTGCTAATACGACATGTCTGTCTTAGCATCTGCTTGAAAATCTGTTTCTGCAAAAATTACGGATAGCTGTTTTTTGTAACCGGGCCCAAGAGAAAGAGCTAAGTCTTAGTATAACATATGTATATACATGTATATATAAATATGCTTGCATTTTTGCAAATTCGTTGATAAAGAAGGCGTGCATGCAGTACATGTACAGTTGTCAAGTTTTCATTCTTACGTTTACATGTGGAAGAGAAGAGCCATTTTATCCTCTTTACTCTTTTTTTCTCACTGACCAACTTAATGATTCGTCATTACTATGATTAATAATAATAATATAATAATAATAATTATAATAATAATAATATACGCACAAGGCAAGTGTAAGGAATTTCGTCATTACAATTATTTTAAGTGGTATCAGTTAAAATTAGCAATAAGTGAGAGTCATTTTTACAAAAAGTTTTATTTCACTCAAATTTATTGTTTAACAACTGTCACTTTTCACTGCGTATTCCATTTTTTATGACCTATGTACAAAGTTTTCCAAGTTTGACACAGAGAGCTTTTGTTTCTACTGATTTTTCGAGAGAAAGAAAAATTCAACTTCCATGAAGTAGCGGAGAGTTTGGGTTTTTCTTTTCTCTACAACGACAGTTACATGAAAGTTGTCTTAATTCTTGTATTTACATTAATTCGTCAAAAATTTTAAACTCGACGCTTGACGATTGTATTAGTCGTAGCGAATTTCAAGAATCGAGAGAAAAAGCCTTACCCAGTAGAAGATAGGAAGTATTCTTTATTGACGCAATTTCTCAAACAATCTGGTATACGACCGACAATTGCTCGCCGTATTTCACTTGCGGCCATTTCGCGGAGTTCCGTGCAACTTGCGTCACTGTAAAATGCAGCATGTGGCGTGCACAACAAGTTTGGTGCATCCTTTAGTGGACCTAAACAATAGAATATACAAAAATTACATTGGCTGTTTCATTGTCATTATTTGTTTTTGCACAGTATATACTTCAAGCCCCATTTCTGATTCAAAAGAAAAAACAAAAACGTTCACCAAATTTATAAATACACGATGTCTATGTTATTGTAGTTAGAATGAAATTCATGTCAAAAGGAATCGTGACACAGGTAAATTATGTATGATCAAGCAAAATGTGAGAAAACAACAACTGTGAACACAAGAAAAAAAAAAAGTCGAAAAATTCTTTTTCAAACAGCAAATGAAACCCTTGTTAATGCAAAAGGAGTTGTTAAGGGTTAGGTTAGATGAAACTCACACTGTGAAGACTGACCCTGAAAGACATTGTATGGTTCGTTTTCGTGGACATCTAGAGCAGCAGCACGAATTCTACCTTGTTTTAACGCAGAAGCTAATGCATCATCATCCACCAATCCACCACGAGCTGTGTTTACTAAAAATGCTCCCGGTCTCATCTGAAAAGATAAAGTTTATAAATTTGTGCTAATTTGACAAACACTTTTGTATTTACTTTCAAAGTATGTACCTGTTTAATGGTGAATTCGTTAATTAAATGATGATTATGCTCATTTAAAGTACAGTGTAGAGATACACAGTCTGATTGAAACAGTAAATCCTGAAGAAAAAACAGAAATGATTGGCAACTTATATTATGTAAATGTTAAAAAGACAAGATAAAAAATTTGTAAAATACAAACCTGTAGCGTATAAACCCTAGTGAGGCCAAGGGACTTCTCAATACCATCAGGAAGATAGGGGTCGTAGAATATAACATTGAAACCAAAAGCTTTTGCACGTAAAGCAACAGCAGAGCCAATCCTACCGAGACCTACTATACCAAGTGTGTCACCCCTTATCCTAGCACAGCCTTGCGCTGCTTCTCTCACCTGTAGAAAGATAAACAAATTTCAAACAAACTCCAAGTACAAGTTTCAACTAAGGTACAAGTCGCTTTTCGGTATACATACTTGTTCTGGTCCTGTGAATTTTTTGCCTTCACGAACCATATTTGCCAGCCAATATGTACGTCTGTATAGGTTCAATATGAGGCATAATGTCGTGTCGGCCACTTCTTCAACACCATAGCCAGGCACATTGCACACAGCAATGCCAAGTTCACCCGCAGCTTTGACATCTATGTTATCAACTCCTGAACCGATTCTCACAATAATTCTGAGGGTCTTGAACTTTTCAAGATCCTCCTTTGTCAAAATAATAGTGTGCCACATGAGAGCACCCACTGCCTCATTCAAGACCTGTAACAAGCAAAGGATTAATGATGTTGGTGCTATTGTGGTAATGATGGAAAAAGATAAGATTATTAAATAACCTTTTCGTGAATTTCAGACGTGGACTGTGCATCACAGAAGGCCACGGTGGCAACATCCTTGAGAATGGGCATCTCAATGGAGCAATCGCGCCCGTCGAGAAGCGCCACCAAGGGCCTGGTCTGGATAGGCCCGTTGCTTATTGGGCCCCTAAGGTTCTCCATACGAGGTCGTTTGGGCATCATCTTACGTTTGTCCATCGGTCAGACGCGCCCACGGGTAAATGAATTTTGTGCAGCCCCTGCTGCGTTGGCTCGAGGTCGCGCTCGTACTAGCAGCGTGACCACCAGCAGAAGCAACGACAACGAGACTACTCTCGACGAAGAAGAACTAAAACGGCGAAGGTTCTCAACACAACGGGTCTGAAAGTGAGTGACTGACTGGCTGTTGCTGCCTCGTCGTCACACCAATAGCCGTGGCGATGCTGAGGACTCCAGCTCGGTTTCAGGGTAGGCACCGCTGAACCTCCACTGCATCACGGCTGCTACCCGAACGCTGCCACCTGTAAAACAAGTTCACTCACTTTACTCAACTTGATTCACTCACCCACTATAGGGTATTACGGATTGTACACAAAAGTACTATGCTAATTATCTCTCTCTCTCCTTCGTTTCGCTTGCTATATAGGTACATATCGAATGTAACTGTACTACATATACATGTATATACACTGTATGTGCTCCGTTTTAGAGAAATTGGAGGTTAGAGTTACGCGGCTTGGGCGGCTTTGTACCTACGCATACGCGACTGCTCCGATTTATCGGGTGCCCGGAGCTCGCTCAAATCCGCGATCGGCGATCGTACCTGGAGCGCGAAAGACGTTTCGGCATGGGGGAAAACGTTGCTACTAAGTGTTTCCACACGTTTCCGCACGCGAGCCACGCACTGTACGCGGGAGGGAAGCGGAGGGAGAGAGGACACACACTTCGAAAGAGAGAGAGAGAGAGAGAGAGAGAGAACGGCCAACAACTGTATGTCTTACATGTACAAGAGGTGATACCTATATGCGTATACTATACACTTGGGTTAAAGCGACGCTGTGTCTCTATTTCTTTTTAATTCTGAACAACAAACTACCTAATGTAAGTTCACAACGATATCTATTATCAGAAAAACGGAGTATCGTCCCGAGATGAGACGCACACTGCAGGGCTGCACCGTAGGATGTATACCAATGTACCGAAAACGAAGATAGAGAGAGAGAGAGAGAGAGAGAGAGAGAAAAGGAAAGGCAAAAAGGACACGAGAAAGAGAGAGAGACGCGATTGCACTCTACGTACAAACTGCAGCACCAGTCGGATGGATGATGCGGGCAAGCGGCCCGCAGCCCCGTACCGTTTCGTATTTTCACTGTACTCGTTGTAGTCGTCGTTGACGACGACGACGCGCGGACTGACTTTGTAGGTTAAAAACAACTCTAACCGGCAGCTGCAGAGGCAGCGCAGAGCCACACACTCCATGGACTGGCGCGCGCGCTGGCGTCCCTTACTTATTGAAATTGAAGCGATATAGGATAAGCGGCGGCGACTGCAACAAACTGCGGTCGGGGGAGCAGAGATTGCTGGGAAAGAGAGGGTCACTCGGGTCCAGTGTGGACCAGCAGCGATTCACCTGCCGTACATTATAAGTTATACCATCTATCTATCTACTTTTTTGCTATGCGCCGCGCTGTACCATCATCAACTATGGAATAGGGTATACATGGAAATGTAAATAAAGTATATAGGTGCCGGAACATTTCAATTAATCTATCTGATCTGATGTTCGAATGAAGAAAAAAAAGTCATTGCATTTGTACGTTATTACCATACAAGAGGAGAATTGTACTATGTATCTTTAGATGTACTTCTAAATGAACTGCTGCACAACAGAAAACAGACTTGCTTCAGGGAGAGCAGAAGGAGCAAACGGCTTGGGGCAAACATTTTTAGGACTGCTAATACAAAAGCCGCCTACCGTGCGAGAGACCATGTGTATGGGGTATATACATATATGTGTATAATATATTGTTGGGATACCGCTGCCTCCGCTCTGGTCACTGGGTCGACGTTTTCGGAGCATTTTATCCGAACTAATTGTCCGCCGATTTTGATGCTGATACTCATATGCCGTCTGCTGCTGCGGCGCCGCTCCCCTTTTAAACGCTTGCTCTCTCTCCTTCTGCCATCGCCCGATTACGAGTCATAGAGCATCGTATACACACACACACACAAACACGTATACTTATTACACGCACGGCTCACTTTCTCTCTATAGCTTCGACTCCGAAAAGTTTTTTTTTTGTCGAGCGCAACACCACATAGAGCAGTTGCAGCAGCAGCGCCCAAGTCAAATGTAAATAAAACAAAAAGCCGCAAGTATAGGTAGGGTGCATATAATGTATACTCTGCTCCGCTCTCATTCATCGAGCATGGGTCGTATCAGAGAGAGGGGGAGGGGGGGGGCTGCAATTGACGGGAGTGCTCCGAAAACGAAAATTCGGAGCGCGTGCATTGTTCCGGCGCCGATTTATTGTTATTCCGCGTGAGAGGAAAATAAAGGGCGGTGCGTGTTGTACGCGATGCATATATATACGTGCATACACAACACACGGTAAAACTTCTTGATCCACCACCCTATTTCCATCGACTCTCTTCTCCCCCACCTTTTTTTTTTTTTTTTTTTTTGTTTCCCGTAGTGTTGGCGATTTCTCTCTAAATATCCCATGTGGGTATTTGGCTCTGCAGGCTACATGTAACATGTAACTCAACGCATGCACGAGAAAGTCAGAAGACGACCGAGGAGCGATATGTGGCGCCCTCCGATGCGTAGAACCTTCTTCCGATAATTACGGGGGATGAGGAGGAAACGAAGGGAAAGAGGAGACACAAACTATTCGCCGTTTTCGAACAATATGTACGTGTTACTGCATATACACACTTAAATCGAATGTGTGTTTGTATATACGTAGAAATGGAGAGTCTCCGAGTATATAGGTATACATTGCACAAGCATGTCCAACGATTTCACTTTGCTCCGGCCTCTAGTCCATACACTTATATATACTACTTTATAAAATAGGTATACTCGACTCTCTCTCTCTCTCTCTCTATGTAACAGGGCACAGCTGTATAATACAAAATACGTACTAATTCACACGTATATTATATACCTTATGGTTGCGCGACGCGATGACTCTCTTGCAACCGCTAAGCGTTTTATACCGGGGGGCTATTGGGGGCGCTTATCTCTCTTTATTGGACACTAATAATGACGGTCGAATCGATCGATAACACGGTTGAGCTCTGAATTATTTCTGGCTAAGAGAGAGGAAAAAAAAAAAAGCGCGGCTGTATATATGTAACAGTCGGATAGTAAAGGAGATAATACATAATGTACGCGTAAAATGTAGACTAGCGCGTGTGTAGTATATAATATATACATCGTTATCTACTTTAAAGCTGAGCTACTTGTATATGTATATAAGTTTCAAGTGACGCGAGAGCGCGTGCGATGGAATTGTTTGTAAAGATACACACACAGACACACATAGTAATTATACATTGTGTATACGTGAGCGCGGGATGAATCTCATGTTGTGATATAATATCGACTCGTATATTTATAGGCGATGGATAAATTTATGAAATTAACGAGACAAAAAAATTGAATTTCGCAAGTGGGGAGAAAGAGAATCAATTTATTGCGAGTGTAAGGACTGGTGGTTCGTAATAGTTCATGCAGCACATAACTACCATTAGGGAACGTGGGTGGGGGGGGGGAAGGAAAAAGTTTTCCACGGAAAAAGGGGTCGGAGCTGTAGGGTGGGCGGGGGAGATATTTGGAGCAAAGTTCGGCGAAGCGAGAGAAAACGAATAACTCTCCCAGGGGCCGACGTGTGGGTACGGTGTACGATGTATAATATCTAAGGGCAGAGAGAGAAAGGGTAAAAAAAAATGGGGGGGGAGGGTAACTACAGAGTGAGGAGGAGAGGTACAACACGCGTAATCGGAAATATGGCCTATGCGGAGGAGGAGGGCATAACGGAAAGAGATCGGTGCTGGACCCACGACACTATAACGCGAAGTGCAAACCCAAGCACTTTGGGCAAAGAGAGAGACTTGACTTTGGGCACATGTTGTGCCAGCTCAGCATGTAAGTACATCCGAGAACGCCGAGTTGATTGTGTGTGTGTGTGTGTGCTCAGTCAAAGGGAAAAGAAGGAGAGATCCCTTTTCTATAGCTATTGTATACACGAGGTACATAGGTATATACAATCTCCTTCTCTCCCCGACACGCAAGTATATATATATAATAGCTTTTCTCTTTTTTTTCTTCTTTATTTCAACCGATAGCTCAGGAGTCTGTCGACCTTTAATATTATTTTTTTTCCAAAATCGCAACGCGAGCAAGTTTCCAGTTGCTTATGCTTTGCGCAGCAAAAACACTTTTGTATACATATAAATATCAATACATACACTACGCGTATACGAAGACCTTGAAAATAATTCGATTGCGTAAAGTGGCGCAAGTACACGCACCTGAAGGCGAGAATAATATTATTATATATATACGTATGTTAAAACAAAGCCGGTATCGCGTGTCACGCTGGTACAGGGTGTGTATAAATGTGGATCACCAGCAGTGGCCGATGCGAGATCATCGTTGAAGAAATAAAAAAAAAAAAAAAAAAAAAAAAAAAAAAAAAAAAAAAAGTCGAGAGAGATCGAGAGTAGCGTATCAGCAGCATGTGCGCTCTCGTCATCGCAATCGCTCGAATTCACGAGCCTCTCTCCGTAAGCGTGATCTCTCGCGCGCAAGACCACGACCAAGAGAGAGAGAGAGAGACGGTGTAACTTTTGCAAGTCTGCAGGCTGGCGGCGGCAGCAGAGCGGGACCCGAGGAGAGAGAGAGAGAGAGGGGGGGGTGGGAGATGCTCCGCGAGGGCAAAGTTATCCAATTATTGTCTAACCTGGGAGCAACTTTACTCCGGTGGCGCGGGGCGGTGGTGTAGTTGGAGTTGCGCGTCCACGTGTATATATATATATATACTATGGCTGGAAACAGAGGAAGGGCGGGGGTGGGGAGAGCCGTCGTCGTATGTACTATACAGTCGCGGTCGCGCGTCTTCAATCGAGCCGCGATAGAGTAAACTTTCTTTCGAAACTCGTACACCCCCCTTCTCTCTCTCTCTCTCTCTCTCTTTTTTTTTTGTTATACCGCTGACGTACACCAACCCCTCTTATCTATATATACCAGTGCCTCGGTGCGACCTAGCCCCCCTTTTCCCTTCTTTTTCAGTTCTTTCTCTTCTCCTGTAATCTGAGGGGGACAACTGTCTACGTATACGCGCGCACGGGGCAGCGATCTTCTTTCGCCATTGCATTCCTGCGCTACTACCGTGCGGAGAGATATAGTGGCTCCACACTGTATACGTAATACACGATACTCGCGTTGTTGGCTCATTAACATCGATAAACCGTCATTCCGTTCAAACGAAACGTTTTTCTTTCACGTTATATA